CTGTGGGCTAGAAACCAGGCTAATGAGAGACTTCACAGCACAGCCTGTTCCTATACTATACGGCTTTTGAAGCATATTCCTGCAGTCATCCACTTCAAGTAGAATCAATAATTGTCCTAATTTGAGTGATTACACCTCCAATTAAAATTACCATTAATGTTGATGGTGTAAGTTGTCTTAAGGCTTGATCTTAATTCTGCCTTCCTGTGTCAAACACATATGAAGGCTGAAACTGCACTCATTAGGTAGTTAAATCTTAGTGACTCCCGTTTTGCCTCTTTCTCCCTTTTTGTTCCTGCACATGCCCTCTAGATGTCCTCATTGAGCCTTCTGCCGCTGCGTGTCACCTGATTGCTGCTGTGACCACCACCTGCCTGCACACCTGTCTAACATCACCTAATTAGCATTTCAGTACAAACAACAACATCATTCTCACATCATCTGACATTTTGTTCCTAGTATGCAAGTTGCCTTCCCTGTTTGTTAATTCCCTGTCATATGCCTTCTATAGACCTTTTTCACAGCAGCCAATTTGACATGAAATAGTAGGGTAAACACAAGTAACTGAGGTTCTGGTCCATTTAGTGTGAGCCTTTTCAGTGAGCTAACATGCACAATAGCATCCCACTGGCTTTGTTTGACCGAAATGCAACCTTAATTCGTATCATTGGTAACACCCGTGTTTACCCTACTATTTCATGTCAAAATAGCTGCTGTGAAGAAGGCCTATTATGATGCTGACTCCTTGACCTTTTGTATGGTAGACAATTTGACTTTTGATAGCAGGAAAATGTGTAACAGACAACATTAACGGTGGCTCTGCTCCGTTTAGGAGTGTTTAAAAATCTATGATTTAAATCAGTTACAAACCAAGAACACAAAAAAGTAAACAGACTAAATGAGGCAATACACTTTTTTGTGTTTGTTGGCAGTGCTTAAAATATGAGTGAATATTTGTTGCTCACTTAACAAAATGGTCTTCGCTAAACAAAGTCAGATTTTCAGAATAGGGCCAATTTATCTCAATTTAATAATAATAACAATAACAAACATATTTGATTTCTTGATTTCTAGCCAACACCTGCCTAACTTACCTTAGCATAAAGACTGAAAACAATGAAAGCTAGACTAGCTGTGTCCAAAAGCCGCCTACCAGCACATTGTAGCTAACTAATTAGCAGGTTATCCTTGTTTAATCTGAGGTTTTGTTTCCATTAAAATTCCTCCGTTTTTTCTTCCTTTAAAATGCAAAAAAATTATAAAAATGTATGCTTTTACAACTTTTTCTAGTCATACTGCCATATTCACCAAGCCATGCCCCTTATGTAACTGTGGCCCTTCCATACATTGTGTTTCACTAGAAAAAAAACATCCACCGAAAACTATGATGCAAATTGTGCATCTGTAAATGTATCTGTGTTTGTGTGAGAAGACCTGCTTTTCCTTTTATGGAGTTTAATTTTCTGTAGAATATCTGAGAAACCACCTCCTATAATTTGACATTGACTAAAATGCCACCTGCAGCAGAGAAAATATTTTATTACCCATCTCCCATTGGAATTCTAATCCTTCCTGAATAGGGGGCTTGTTCGCCTTTGGGTCGAGCTGCTGTCCAGAAATGTCACACATCGCATATTTGCACAGGTTTAAGTGCACAGATGACCTCTGCAATTATTATAAATCACAGAGGACCCCAAGTAACAATAGTCACGTGGAAATAGGGCTTAACTGCTCAATGTAATGCAAATGTTTCATAAATTGAGTTGCTTAAACAAATCTGCCGGCTACTTTGTGTCCTCTTGTTCCTCCACATGCTGTTTCTTGCTGAAAAGTGCACAGACCAGACTGTTATGTAAACTGTAAAGTAGGCATGTGCATTATTCCTCCCAATGTCAACATATTTGTCCACAAGTTAATGGTGAAAGAAGTTCTGTAGTCCTCACAAATATACACATACAATTATCCGTGTGTATGCTGGGCACTGTGTGCTACTGACTCTGAGCAGCGAGTCACACCGATTGTGTTCCATGTCAAATGCATTTGACCTACACATCCCAGGGGGCAGATACACTGACATACACACACACACACACACAAACAAACACACCTGCACAGTTATGCAGAGAGAGACAGGGAAGGAGAGAGGAAGGTAAACAGATCTCTTCTTTTTTTTCATTCTGTGCATGCTCTCTCCCTATTTCCACCTCTCCAACTGTCTGTCTTTCACAATGTCCTCAACCTGTCTGCAGCTTACAGTCATGACACTTTAAAGTCACTGTTACTGGCAAAATGTCAGAGGATGAAATGACAACACACACTGGCGCCATGAAATAAATACAGAAGTGTGTGCAGAAGATGAGAGAAGCAGATCAGGAAGGATAAAGTTAGAAAGATGCAGATATACGCCCGGGAAGATCAGTCAAAGATGCAAAGAAGATGTCAAAAACACAGGCCTTAGATAGATGAAACACTACCAAAATCTTTGCAGATGGCTTTTTAGTGATCAATATAGCAGTTGTTTAAAAATGACGTGTTTGTACAAAGTATTTACCCTTCTCTAACCTCAGTGAGTCATATACAAATGTATGCTGTTCATTGACAACATAACAATGAAACCTGAGTTTTGCGCCAGCGGGGAGTTCTTATGAGCAACAGTAAACGGGTTACTGAAGACCATGTTACTGAAGGACAAGCAGATAAAAGGCAGTGAAGACTAAATGTAGAGAAAGAAGAGAACAGTGTCTTTTACTTCATATTTGGTTTGGTGAAAACCTTTTTTGCTGAGGTTTCCGTCACTCAGTTGATTGAATTATGTCAATTTAAAATTAAGCTATGTTTCTACTGATCTATGATGCCTAAGCCTACAACATTTTTAGTCAAGTGTGCAATATGGCTCTAAGGATAGAAATGCCAGTGTAACACATCTACAACCATTGCATGGATTGCCATGAAATTTGGTAAAGATATCATGTCTGTGATGCACAGAGGATGAATCCTAATTACTTTTTCTGATCAACCAACTTTCCCCCCATTGCCACTGTGGTTTTCTGGTGTAGAGTGAAATTAATTCACTGTTGACTAGCACCAACTATTGCATGGATTGCCATTACACCTGGTACACACAGTAATGTTGCCCTCAAAATTATATATTGTAAACTGTAATAACTTTGGTGATGCCCTGAATGGTAACTTCTGTATTTTTCAACCTGGACCCTATTTTCCAATGTTTTTGTGTCTGAACGACTAATGGGGACAACGGTTTTTGACATTGGTCCAGCATTGAGTGAAAGCACAGCATCAGGGCAGCTGCAATGTAATCCTTATGTACAATTGTGCACCATCAATGTACGTCCACTGAAAGTGCTTGTTTTTGCCACTGGTAGGATCAGATTGTAGTCAGTGTGTCTGACAACATTATGGAAAGGACCCTACAGAGACAGACGTTTTGTGAAAGGGTAAGATCCTTTTTGTTTAACCTGAAACAACAGTTATATTGCTGTGTTCAAAGCCACTAGGCTACATTGACAACAACAATAATTCTATCTTGTAACATTGTAACACTTCATTCAAACAAAAAAAAAAAGAGAAAACTTACCAAAACCTTAGTTATTTTCTCCACTGTGGTCCACTCCGGTTTGGCCGAAACAAACCCTTAATTAACCAAGTTAGATGTGAAAATATTTGGAAAGGACCTAGAGGGAGGTCATGATGAGAACAGCGTGTAGAGCTGGAATAATTTCACAACTGGAGAACAATTCACTATTGTAATTAGGCTCCAGCCGTCAGACAGTCGTTACCCATCTCTCAGATAAGTGTGATATTTGGGAAAATCATGAAATGCTACATAGTTGATTTGCCATTATCTGTGCTACTGTTTACTTCTGAACTTACATTTGACTAAGGTATCTAGTAGCATATTCGTATTACTGATCAAAATTTGTATTCAGCGACCAGTTTATGCTCTCAGACATTTTGAAATGTATACAGTCATGTGACCTGACTGGTGAGTTCAGACGACCACTGATGAAAGCTTTATGAGCATAGGTCCTGACTCCTACATAACATTCGGTGGAACAACTCCACGCTACGTAGAATTACTGACAGTGACTACGTTTTACAGCACATAAAGCAGCATCAATAATTTGAGCAGTTAAGTCACGATCTGGTGAGTTTTATTTCCCTGAGTCATTATTATCCCCATGTGTTTACTTAACACTACTTTTTACATGATATATAACTCCAAGGGAGCAGAAAAAGAGCAATCTAAATTGAGTATAAATTAGGCCTGAAAGCCAATAAATGCAATGATGAGTTTTCCATCTTGTAAAAGGAAGTGCAGCACACTATGGGGCTCCCTCTGGCAGCAAGAGGAATAATTTTTATTGTAGCACATAGTGAAACTAATAGCCTTCCTGTTATGATGATGGTGATATGGGGAGGGCTTTTTCTGTAACAGAGTTAAAGTTAATGAGCTGCCCCAGTCTGTGACTTTTCAGCTGACTGGGGCGAATGGTTTGACCTGTGCCAGTAAATTTGCAGATTGTCCAGCCACAATATCTTTCATCTGTTTACACAACAAAGACAGATAAAGCAGCCTAACAGGCAGAGAGAACATTGGAGGCAGGGAATGGAATAGATGTGAATCAGATGAGAGGGATAAAAAGATGGAGTGACGAGGGCTCAGAAACACACGAGAGAGGTGAGAAGGTGCCCTTATATGAAATAAAACTTGAAGTGCTGCTCAAAGAGTCCTATTAACAAACGATACTTGATTATGTTGCTCAACTGAACAGAGTGAAACTGAATAAAATGAATATCAGAAAGCTCATTACTGACAATTCTGAGCCGCGGGCTATAGCAGATGACATTCAATCAGCTCTCTCCCATTCTTTTTATCTTCTCGTTTTCTTATACACAAGACAAGCACAGTTTTGCAGCTCGATTTCAATTATTCGTACTTTGACTCTCTTTTCCACATAATTTTACCCAAAGCTTCTTACCTGATGCTATGCCTGTTTTTGATGTCTGGATCTGTAGCATTGAGTGATGCCACGAAGCTGCCCACAGGAATGTTTTCCATCCAGGTGACTTTCAGTGGGTCGGGAAAGAAGACAGGGCCCTCGTTGATGTCTAGGACTTTGACGTGGACAGTGGCTGTGGAGCTGGGGCCATAGCCAACATCAGGAACCAGAGGATCCTCGTTCTCTACTTTGATGAATAGTGTGTGGAGTGACATGGCCTCATAGTCCAGAGGCTGAATGGGAAAAATGAATGGGCAGGTAAGGTAAGGGACTATGTTACCTACTGCAGTGTATGAATGCATGGGGCGTATACTTTACCTTGACAACAGAGAGCATTCCCTCGTTATTATCTGGGTTGGTCTGGATCTCAAAGCTCTGTGTGGGATCACCATCAATTATAGAGTAGATAGCTCTCCCCGCTCCCGTGTCTGGGTCATCTCTGTCGTCTACTGTCAGGTTGACCACCACACCCGTCGAGCCCTCATTCACATATGCCTCAAACTGAAGAGACAGACAGACAAATTACCATTAGTGAACAAGAAGAACTAAGGACACATAACAAATCAGACTGGAATCAGACAGAGGGGAGACAAAGAGGTAGACATAGAGGAAGACTTTCCATTAGGAGCTGATTTTGGTAACTCTGAAGGTGTGTTCAGACTGAATGTGAAGGGAATTTCAAAGGCAATCCCCTTAGAGGCATATTCAGACCATAGAGAGACACCAATCAGACATGAATTAAGGCAAAGGTGTCTGCCTGGCATTGTAATGTTTAAACCTTGAGCTAAAAATATTTCATAAGGTGCGTGACTCCATTTCATGAATGTACAGAGACAAGAGGAAGTTCCTGGTGAGTTTTGTAGTCAAACAGTGCCTTTTAGTTTCCTTACGGATGCACACAGATTTACACCGATCAGCCATAATATTATGACCACTGACAGATGAAGTTAATAACACTGATTATCTTTGATTTATCATGGCACCTGTCAGTGGGTGGGATA